GTCTGGGGGCAAGGTCTCCCTATATTCCACAGAAGGGGAAGGAAGCCAGATGCACCTCCTCCCTTGGCCCCTGCCCTTGGCCCCACTGATGGCTACCGTAGGGCCTGCCTACTGAGCCTGCCTCCCAGGAATCTGAATCTGCAGCAGATGAGACAGGAATGAAGGGGCAGCTGAGAACCCACCTCCAGCAGTGGCAGAGTTCCCAGCAGTGGAGCCCCATCAGGGTGTCCAAGCAGTCCTCAGATGTGCACCTGCGTGGCACTTCAGTTTATTTTCTAAGTCTGGTTCTCAGGTCTTCGCATTGATTCTGTGAACCACCCAATATCCATCCAGTGAATTCCTTTTCTTCTTAAATTAGATATAGTTTCCAATGCTTGCAACCAAGAACTTTGACTGATAGAGTAATTTGTTTTCCTTCTGTTCATGTTTTTCCTTGACAATCTGACAGATAGAACATTTGAATTCTGGGAAGTGGCAAGATGAACAGTATAAATCTGTGTCCCGACAGATGTGGATCACCTATGTAAGTAATTAGGAAGCCAGGGCACTACCTTTTTCTTTAGGACTGCAACAGGCTATGACTACAAAAATACCTGAATCACCAAGGGCACACTCTAGGGGCACTACCAGAGGAAACACACATACACACCCACACACATACACACATGCACACCCACATACCCACACACGTGCACACACATGTAATGTATACATCCACCCACACACATACATACCCACACGTGCACACACATGTAATGTATACATCCACCCACACACATACATACCCACACGTGCACACACATGTAATGTATACATCCACCCACACACATACATACCCACACGTGCACACACATGTACACAGATATGTATACACATATACACACCCGCACACATACAACAGCCCCCCCCACATGTACACACAGACATGTACAACACGCACGTACAAACACGTGTACACCCACCCCCACAGCACCTGTTGGCCTTAGTGTGTAGCTCTCGAGTGTCTTCCCAGGTGTGGCAAGTCAGGCTCAGCTCACCAAAGACCAGGCCGACCAACCTCTGCCTGAGAACAGGGAGTGTGGAGGCCTCTGCCCAGTCATCTGCATCTTGGGGCGGCTTTCCAGGGACTAAGTCACAGGGGAGCCTCAGATGACACCACTGCATAGAGTGGAGCCAGGAAATAAGGAAGAGAGAGTGGTCAAGAAGGGCAGACGGGAGGGACAGCTAGTTAGCATGTGAAAGAAAGGGAGAGGCCATCTTATAACCAGCAACCCTCCCTTGCTGCGAAAGCCTAGGTGGGCTCCTGCATTGGGCAAGAGGTCTGCGGAAACCAGGTATGCTGGGTAGGGAGAGGTTAGTCTTGGGACATTCCCCAGTTACCAAACGCTCTCAGAGTGAAGTGTTTTGAGAATCATTCTTACAAGTCCCAGGAGGTCTGGAAGCTAGAAGGGTGACTGCAGGTGGATGGACACAGGCCATCTCCAACCCATCTGGCCCTGGCAGGGAGCCTCTCCTGGATACCACTCCTGTGGCAAGGGAGGAAAAACAGCAGAGAACAGGTGAAGGAAGAGAAAAGAGAAAAGTAAAGTAGCAAAAAAAGGAAAAAAATGTCAAAGTGTTATTGTTTCTGCAGTTAACAAATGGTAAGTGCCCAGTGCAGAAAGTTCAGATAACTAAGAAAAAGATAAAAAATAAAGATGACCTATATTTTGATAATTTGGAGAAATCACTGTGTGATTTCATTCTTGTTGATTTTGTATGAGCTCTATATTAAGGATTCTTGCCCTTGCTATTGAGTTGACATTTAAGAAATTAAAACTAAAATGTAATAAGGCAAGAAAATATTTTAACTAATAAAATTAAAAGGAGAATGTTACTTTAAAAGCAAGAGAATAAGAAATTCAGTTGAGACAAAATAAAACCCAGATAGAAATAGAAAATTCAAGATGAAATAGAAAAATAAAAATAACCAGCACCAAAGAGAAATTTCAGAACAATGCCTAAATTCTAGTTTGTATAGTGTGAGCCGTCTGAGCCGTCTGTAAGAACACAAAACTGAGGAGTGTAGAGGACAGTATGACCTATGTCAGGTAGGCCAGGAACAGTGCCATGGACCTGAATCGAGGTCTCTGTAGAGACCTGCACAGCGGATCAAAATGGGGACCTGTAGCTAATCGCCCTCAGGAGTCCATCTGCTTAGCAAATCCCCCTGAGGAGCTCAACTGCGTTTAAAGCTACATTTAAGAAGGGCCCAGATAAAAAGGTAGGAAAGGAAAGAGTTACCAATACAGGATGAAGTCTTGATGGGAGCAGGTTAATCTGTCCTGTTAATTGCATTGTCTTTTCTTTCTGTCCACTAATTAGATCAAGGAGCTAGTAGAGTTACAAACTCTAAAAAGTGACTCCTTTGAGGAAACCCTAAACAATGAAATGCCTTGCCCCACCTATACCAGATTTCATGTAAGACATATTGAATCTAACACTGAATTCCAAGGAAGTCTGTATCTCAAAGATTGCTTATTCTGAGACCACTGGACACTTTTCATGTGTAAAAAGAAGGATGGTATGCATAAACGGCTCCTGTGTCCATTTAGTGCTATGCGATCATTTTCACGGCTTCCGCACCCCATACATGAGAGCATTAGGGCCCAGAAAGTGACTGTCTCGTCATCACGGTGCTCTCAGCAGTAGGGCTGGAATCAAAAACAACTCTAGGCCAGAACCACCTAATAGATACAATGTGAGCCACATAGGCTATTTTAAATTCTCTAGTTGCTACATTAAAAAATTAAAAGCAATGGGTGAAGTTATACTCAGTATATTTAGCACAATACATTCATATTTTTATCACCTAAGCATGTCATCACACAAAAATTAGGTAATTTACATTTCTTTTTTTCCCCTGCTCTTTAAAATCCAGTATGTTTTTTACATTTACAGCATATCTTAATTTACACTGGCCACATTTCAATACTCAAGAGCATTTCAAATTCTTAATAGCCACATGTGGCTATTAGCCACCACATTGGACAGCTTGGTTGTGGACCAGTGGTTCTTCAAGCGAGGTCCCCAGACCAGCAGCATCAGTGCCGCCTGAAAAGTGTTAAAAGTGCAAATTCCTAGGTCCTATCCCAAACCTCCCAAATCAGACCCTTTGTTGGGGTCATCAATTTGTTCTTTAACAAGTCCCTTCTGATAATTCTGAAGCGCACTAAGGTTTGAGAATCATTACCCTAGAAGTTGCCCCCCACCCTCATCCCGTGTCAAATAAACCCGGGCCAGCCGTGGCAGGCTAGTACTGTGGAAAGGGAGCCCCTTCTCTTGAGAGAAACAGTTCTTGGTTAGATGAAGTTGAAGTCTATTGTATGGAAATCCTCTAGTCCTAGTTGTGGTTCATTTCTTGGAACTAAGGACCGAATTTCCAGACACATACTAAACATGGTTTCATTTACTTCCTTTTGTTAAAGGAGGAAACACCCCCCCCCAACAGTAACCACCCTAGACTATCACCTAGAGTTGTTCCTAATTTTACTTGTGCTCAGTTGCATAAAATGGGGGTCGTTTAATAAATATGAGCAACTTAAAAAAATACTGTGCATAAAAATGTAAAAGTAGTATGTTTAAGCTACAGTTTAAAAAACTAGTAGGCAGGAGAGGAAGTAGTACAGATTTTGAGTACAGAAGCAGAAGCCAGTACACTTATATTTCTCAGAAGCATAGATTTGCCGAGGGGGGACGGCAGGGTTCTTGCCAAAACCATTAAGGAGAATGAATCCGAGCATGCCTTAAGGCAGAGCTTTCAGTAAACAGGAATTATCTATAAAGAAAATCAGGAAGCCCGAGTGTTTCTTTTTATGAAGTTACATCCTGCCATAGAAAAGCTGGAAAGGAAATAAGGACTGATGCATGCGCTCCCAACTGTATACTAAACCGGCTATTATTTCATCAAGGAAAATCTGAGCAGAAGCCCAGATTCAGTAAAGGGAAAAAAAACACGAGAAGGCTGGAAGTCATGAGAAACCAGGGACAACCAGTGGCTACGATTAAACATGATTTTGGAAAAAACTATACAAACAAATCTTTATTCTGTGATTGCAGATTTCTTAGTCGCCGTCCGCCCAGCATCTCCAGCATTTTAGTAATACTTTCCTGCAGACTTTTGCTTGAAAACAAATACGTGTCCACGAAAACGGGGGCCTAACTCACTAATCGCCTCCTCCTTTTTATTAACATTATTAATCGTGCTCTTCCAGGGCTCCCCGCTTTCCTGCTTTCTGCGACGGGATCCTGCCCTCTCCGCGCTCCGGGGTTTGGCCAGAGAAAGGGCGTTCCCTCCCCGAACACGTCCCGGCCTCCTCTCCCGCCTTCAAATACAGCCGCGCCCGAAAGGCAAGGCAGCCCTTTCTGCGGCGGGTCCCCGCCGCCTGCCAATGGCAGCTGCCAGTCTGCAGTAGCGGCCGCAACCTCCCGCAAAGCGGATACTGCAGCTCGCGCTTCCCCGCCCCACGCACCCCTCGCGTCCACGCCGCCCTCGCGTGCCCGCAGCCCGAGCCTCGCGGCCCTCACACCCAGCCCAGCGCGCCGCCGCAGCATCTCTCAACCCGCTCGGCGGCCCCACCCACCGCGGACCAGCCCTGCCCCAGACGCCAATGGCCGCCGCCGCGGCTCCCGAGGGGCCCGTCGATTGGGCAGCCTGGGCTGCCACTCTCGGGCCGCGCCCCGCCCCCCACTCCGGCGGGGCTGGCGCTGCGGAGCCTCTGCGCGAGGAGCTGTGAGCGGCCGCGGCGCGGCGGCGCGTCGTCGCAGTTGCGCCTTCTGTCAGGAGCCGAGCCGGCAGGGAGGGGGCTGCCGCGCGAGAGGAGGAGGGGTCGCCCGAGCCGGGCCCGCCGAGAGCCGTCCGCGAAGGCCGAGGCCGGGCCGCCCTCGCAGCCGCGCATCCTCGCGTCCCGGAGCGCCCGCGCCCCGCAGTCGCGCCGCACCGCCCGGCGGCCGCCGTCCGCGCCAGCTAGGGCTCCGGCCGCCGGGCCGGGACCCCGGCGCCGCACCCGCGCCTCGAAAGGCCCCCGGCGCCCGCGCCCGAGGAGGGCGGCGGGCCGCGTGAATGCGCTCCGGAGCCTGAGCGCGCGCAGGTAATCGGGGAGGGGGGGGGCCCGCGTCGCAGCCCCGGCCTGCCCGGTGTCCTCCCGCGGCCGGCGGCGCGCGAGCATGTACCCCGCCCCGCCCCGTCGGGCCGCGGGGACCGGGCCGGGCGCGCTTCGGGTCAGCGATGATGTCATCGCTAGCCCCGGACGCCCCCCGCCCCGGCGCCTCCTGCGCTCGCGGCGCCTCCCTCTTCCCGCGCCACCCCCGGCCCGGGGCCCGAGCCGCCCGCCGCCGCGGTGCCCGCTCGCCGGCGTCCCCTCCGCGCCCCGCTCGCAGGCTGCTTTTGTCTGGCCTCCGCCCCGCTCCCCTGCGGCCGGAACGCGCCCGCGAGCTCGGCCGGGCGGAGGTTCGCCGGGGCCCAGGAGAGGGATGGTAAAATCGCGCTCCTCGCTCCTCCTCCCCGACAATCCCACAGCCCCGCGGGCGTGTGCGTGTGACACAAAGAGCCCTTTCCGTGCGGAGAGGGGGCGCGCGGGTGGGCGCCGGGCTGCTCGCCTCTCCCGGGGCTTCCCGTTCCCTCAGATACAGCAGTTGATCTCGCTGAGCCTTTCCTGCCCCATTTTTACCGAAAAATAGGTCCCAGAGGCTGTGGGGTGGCAGGTGCTGGCGTTTTGCCGCGTTCAGGGACCGGTATTGCTGGCGGGCAGCTGCAGTGTTGCCTGGATTTAAGGGGAAAATGGCTCCAGCCCTTTTCAGAGCTGCTTGCCTTTCAGGGTGCCAACGCGCTCCCCTGGGGGGTGTCGGCACCACGAGCTGGAAGGATAAGGTGGTTCGGGGGCGAAGAATTTGTTTCTGAATCAGAGGTTTAGATCGGTGTTGGTGGGAGTGAGGCAGCCCAGCTTGCTTCTCAGCTCTAAGTGCCCAAGTCTTTTGAAACGGATGAGATGTTGTTTTACCCTTACATTTAAACAAGGTCCTGGGGGCAGTGACAACACAGCATTAAATTTGCTTTCGGAAGACCTCTGGAGACTCTGCCTGCTTCAAGGCAGCTTTCGGACGCCTACGTCCTTCCTCTCACACCCTCACCCTTTGTCTTTCTCCCAGTCCCTGCCTTGGGGTGCTGTGCCTTCAGATGCAGGGACTCACAGCTTCTGGAGGAAGTGGTTTGTTAACTCTCTCAAGTTTGGGGGCACTTAACTGTGAGCAAAAGATGTAGAGAATCTTTTTAACTGAACTCTAAACCATCTGTTTGATGTTCCTCTTAAAGAGGAAAAATTAATGTAAATCTAGGGACTTGATGTTCCCTTTTGAAAGCCACTGACTATTAAATGCTTAATTGATAATGTCAAAACTTAGGTTGAACCCACTGATTCTTAACAGCATGGCTCCTTGACTGTCATAAGTAGCAGAACTGTCTCAAGTTCTTCAAGGAATCTGTTAGAAGAGTTGCTATTTATTAATTCTGCACTTCCTAAGGACATCCATCTTGAAACTTTTTATATTATAAAAGCAGTAGGGTTAATGGGTGTACTGTAAAACCAGAGGCTTGTTTGATGCCAGAACCAGGAAGGAAGGTCAGTGCACAGTAAACTCACACTCTGCTGACAGAGAGTCTTAATGATCAGATAGAATGTGAAAAAATGCTCTTCTTTCCTTACCTTTCTTCTGTGCTGTCTCTGGGTCTGGAATCTCCAACCCCATCTGATTTGCTGGGGTCCTGTTTAACTTGAGGGCTCAGCTCAAAAGTCTTTTTCTGTGTGTTGCCTTCTCCATGCTTTCCTCTCCAAACAGATCACCATGGCTTCAGTTTTGTTTTTTGACTTCAGCAGCAGGCATTCTGTTTGCTATGTGCCTATTTCCATCATTAGTTGGTGAGCCCATTGAGAGAAGGAACCTGGTCTTAACGTGTTTTGACAAATGTGAGTTAGGTCTTTGGAATGTGCTGGGCACCCGGATTAATCAGGCTAATATTAGCAGCTGTAACAAATAGGCCTGCAAAAAACAGATGGCTCAAAACCAACAGACATTTACTCTTCCTCATGTCATGGTCCAAAATGGGTATTTCTGATTAGTGGGAGGCTTTCCTCCTGCAGGGACTCCCCGCCCCACACCCGCCATAGCACTCCAGTGCGCCCCACACCCGCCGTAGCACTCCAGTGCAGCCTGTGTTCAGCTGGCAAAAGGACAAAAGGTAGGTGAGGGGCTGCACCCATTGTTCAAATGCGCTGGCCTGGAAAGGACACCCGTCTCTTCTACTTACATCCTTAACACTAGGGCTAATTACATGGCCACATTTAACTGCAAAGCCTGGGAAATAATATAGTTTAGTTATGTGACCAGAAAAAAACATCAAGAAGAAACGTTTTTGGCCAGCAGCTTTGCTATAGGCTGTCATCAGCAAGGCATTCTCTTTGCCCTTAAGGAGTTTGTAGGCTGAGAATTAATTTAAGTGGAAACCGAGAACCTATATCCATCATTGCTTCTGTTCTTTTGACTTTATAAGTTCAGATCTTTTCATTTTAAACATGTTTCAAAAAATCTAGCTTTTGTCAGTTCAGGTGACCATTTCCCACTCAATCCTTTGTGATATACTGGTGCATCCTGTGTTGACTTTGATATGGCTCTTTACTCCAGTAGCACCTTTCTCGGCCTGGTTTTTTATTTGCTGATTTTATAGACTCCCAAATTGGCCAGGAGGGTCCCTAGAAATCTCAGTCCTGCCTTAATTGGAAGAGGAAATTAAGCAGACTCCAGAGGAGAAACTTGTTGCTCTAGGCAATGCTATGGGAAAGGAGCCTCAGCCTGCCCAGCTCTTAGGTCCCACCTGGGTCCCCTCTAGTACACAGCTGCCTTGAGTTGGTGACTGGGAGCCATGTGTTTTCTGTCAAGGTTCATTGAGCCTCCAGGCCTCCGGGAACCGGGTGAACTGCCAGTGTTTTCCAGCCTGCAAGATAGTCCCTGTTCTCCGGCCTACAAGTTGTTGGAGGCACTGTTGTCCATACTAGTCATCATTGTAAATAATGCATGGATTTTTTGCTCTAAACAGTTCATTATATTCATCTGTTCTGGAAACATCAGCCAGTGTGTTATGTGTGTAAGGCCCTGGGAGACAGGGTTATGAATGAATACTTGTGCTGTCTGTATCTTCAGGAGCTCACAGTCTACTAGAGGAGATAAAAATAACAAATAACAGTTAACTTCTGTGGAGCACTTACTATGTGTCAAGCATGGTTTAAGCTCTGATCCTAACAATAGGAAGTGCTTTCACTTACAATCCCAGTTTTACAGATGGGAATCTAAGCAAGGAGGTACAATAACTACCTCAAGGTCATATAGCTGTAGTAAGTGGGAGAGTCTGGATTCAGCCTAGTTTGGTTTCAAAGTCCTTGCTCTTAGCCACTAGACAATATGGAAAATACTTCCTATGGATATAATGATATTTATTAAAATGTGCTACATGCCGCATGGGGTGTGTGTGTGTGTGTGGTATACATGCTTTGAAAATGTATATTTAAATAAAAAATAAAATGTCCCTTAATAGATTTAGACCCTCATCTATTGTTCATCTAGGCCATAAAAAATGAAATTAAAAAATGGACAGGCAAAGTATGTTGATACTGGAAATACTTTTACTCTGTGTGATTAGTTTAAGCTGGATCCTTCTGCGGTCCACAGATAGGTCTGTAAGAATTTGTGAATTGTTCTGCATATTTGCTCATTCAGTAGCATTCATTCATCGTATCTACCCTTTGCTAGACACTGAACTAAGGCTTCAGGGACAGAGGTGTGATCCTGCCCTTAGGAACTTACTTGTACAAGGAAAGTCCCTGACCATCTGGATAAATGCTGTGATTCCAGGGCTCCTCCCAGGAGCAAACAGAAGGGAACGTGAACTCTGCCGAGATATGGGGAAGTGGGGCAGCCAGGCAGAGAAGGCCGGAAGAGGAGGTGTCTTAGAGGAGAAGAGTACGAGGTGGCTGGTTAAGTGTTGTGAGAATGCTGCCCCAGAAGGAACAGCCCAGAAGGTGAATGCACGGACCTTTAGGGAAGCTGCAGGTAGTTCAGGGTGGGTGGAGGTGGTAGAGAGACAGAGGGAGAAGATGGGGCTGGAAGGAAAATGGGAAATATTCTGGTAAGTACTTTGTGCCACTTAAGAGTTGTAAGTGGAGATCCTGCTTCAGTCAGACTTGCACTTTATTATAAAGATTATCTGGCCACAGTGTGTTGACCAGAGGAAGTCAAGACCAATGCTGGGAAGGCAGTTACAGAAACTCAGATGAGCAGTAGATGAGGGTTGGAATGAAAGTTGGGATGGAGCAAAAGAGACAGAATAAGGGAGATTAAGAAATATTGGGGGGTGGCAAAGAGGAGTCCTTAGGAAATTAGGTGGGGAGAGAGATGCAGACAAACAATATAGTATGAAAAGCAGGAGGCAGGGTGTGTAAGGTTGCAACTGTACCATGGACACCATGGACTTTCAGGCTGTTGTGTCTCATAAGCAGTTGAGTAGATGGTCTGGAGTGAGGAGCCGGACTCAGATATAGTTCTTCTTAGCAGCAGATTGCAAAGTGCTTGAAGCCATGGACGTGGGGAGTATCACACAGGGAGTGTGCAGAGCAAAAGGAGCAGGCAGGGCTGAGGGAGAGCCCAGGAACAGAGCGGCCCAGGTTGAATGGGAGAGTCCGCTGGAGTACTGGGGGACCTGGGGGGAGAGGTGTCCAATCCCAAGAGGGAGAGTTATGCCCCAGAGGCTAAGCAAGATTAAGAGTGAAAATTGCAGTTTGGACTCAGCATCAAAGATCTCATCCCGGCCATAGCAGCACCAGTGGGAAGGGAGTGGAAGTCTAAAAGTCACCCAGATCAAGAGAGACATGGACCGAAACCCAAACCTGCAGAGCACACAGGCACGGGGAACTTGAAGATCATGTAGACCAACATGGCCATTGTACTTCTGAGGGAAGGGTCCAGAGAGGCTAAGTGACTCGTCCAGGGTGGCAGAGTGTTCAACACTTACAGCCAGGTTTCAAGCTTTTCAGTCCCACTGAGG